CGCTCTTCTTATTGGCCCACTGCTCTAGCACTGAACGTAAATGATTGGTTAATATCAGCTGTCAATCACTCAGTCAGCGCTTCTGGCTTGGGATGACAGAGAGAGAGCTACTGCCGCGAAAAATTGTAAAGCGCTGAAGAGGAGAATGAAGATAACACTGACAGATTTTGTTTTAGATACCATGACATCTAAAGTTATAAATACTGAAACATCTTAGTAGTGATCATGTGCTAAATGTTAATCCACTATCTACACTTTTCCAAGAGTAGAAGACTTCCATTGGCTTCAAGTTCGCTATAAAAAGTCTGTGGGATGGAGTTTTCAGGTAACTGTTTGCCACATCTACTGTAGCACGAGAGCTTCTGTTAAATCCTTCATATAATCGCCAGATGCTGTCCGCCATGCAAGGGACAGCTATATGTCAAATTGAACACCACGAACACACCATCGCAAACGGGCTTGCATTGAGTAAACTAATATCGCTACTCATAAAAATAAACCGGTATTGCTATTAACATGTATGCATATAATAAGCTAGAATATGTGTCAAAAGCATTAGTGCAATATCCGACAGCACTTGTGAGAACAGCACAGTTATACCGTTAACAGATTCATCTAAGCAGTGCGTGCAAGGCCAGTGAGCGCTCCGTGTATCTTTTGCTCACTCAGTTATGTTATAAAATTCTATTTTCTTGTGATAACGGGATTTCGTTGAGACATATTTTCCTCACGATTGCATTTATATATATATAATTTTTTTTGCTTGTTAGTTTGTTTAGTGTTGATTTCAAATACAATAAATATGTTTGTATAAAACTTGTAGTAACGGTGCTCATAATTGGTGGGTGCGACAAAATTTTGGCTGATGCGCCTAAATTTTTAAAGTTAGGAGCACCGGTGCTACCAAGCAAAAAGGTTAATTTCGAGCCCTGCACATGTTTGAGAATAACAATAATAATAGCAAATGCACTCATAACCTTTATTTTACATCTACAGAATCGTGAGAAAATTGTAATCTTTATTTTAGACAAAAAAAATGCGATTCTCATTTTTGTTAAAATCATACAGCTCTACTATATAGTACACTAAAATCAGTATGCGAGCTGAGTAGTATGTCCGAATTCACAGAATTCATAAATCAGTATGCGAGAAGTACCTGGATAACCTACTACTTTCAGCGAGATTTTGAAGTGCGCATCACATGCACGCTGCTCTATCCCATGATGCCCCGCAAGAGAATTCATGAATGGAAGTAAAGCAACGCACATCACGCAGGTAGATCACGTGATCATGACAAAATGGCGGTTGTAGTATGTCTGAACTCCATTCATACCGCTCGCATTCATACTGTATAGAACGTACTTTTCTAATGGCCGAGTAGTACGTTTCAATTCAAATGCAGTACCTATGAGGTGGTTTCAGACACAGAGATAATCTTTAATATAATGACTTTTCCATGGAGCGATCGATTTGAGGTAGTCAGCTATTTTTATCTGGCAGAAGAAAAAAACATATGACGGTTCTTAAAAAAGGATTCAGTTAGTGTTTTCATTTTGTGATCTAAATTTGTCATTAAAGTGAGAAGTATCTAGGGCAGGCCTATTTATTTGATTCTTTTTATTTAGTTTGTTCTGTTTTTCTATGCTGTCGGAAACAGGTGTGTGAAAATGTTCTGTTGTTAATATGTTCACATGTTAAAATAAATCAGTAATGCAATATTTAAAGAGTCAGACACAGTTTGTCGGTTGGCAAAATTAACTGAAATGAGCATCCCTATGAACTACACAAACATGACTGAATGTTTAAAAAAAGCTGTTTTAAATCATACACTCTCCGAAACAAAGGTACGTGAGCTGTCACTGGGGTGGTACCTTTTTAAAAGGTACACATTTATACTTGAAGGCTCCATTTTGGTACCTCAAAAGTACATATTAGTTCCTAACAATTTTAAGAGGAACACTTTTGTACTTTTTAAGTACTAATATGTATCTTTCAGGTACAAATTTGTAAGGTTTTAAAAGGTACCACCTCAGTGACAGCTTGCGTACCTTTATTTCTGAGAGTGTACTAATATCCACAATATTACTACATTTGCTGTATTTTGTTGAACTAATTGCAGCTTTGGTGAACATAAGTGTGTTGAACTAATAACTGCACAAAATATTTTACAAACAAATTATACACTAAAATCTACACAAAGTATTGTACAGATTCTATATTAGCATGCATGCTTTGAAATTGTACATACAAATCTTTCAGATAATAAACAAAACCAATCCAACTGGTCTTCGTGACAGGCTTATCATTCCAGCTTTTCCACTGAAGTATAGTAATTAGGAATCCCTTTGTAATGGGTTGTACTATCTACAACAAAAACCCTGAAGCCTTTTTACTGTTGTTGACCTAAACCTTTTTGAGTCTCTGTGACTCTCTACCGTCTTCCTGTTTTTCCACTATGATCTGCAGTAACGCAACAAGCAGCCAACAAGAACACACTGTAACAATGCTCCCGTTTGGCCTTTTCACAGAATAATCTGAACTGCATTGACCTTCCAAAAGGATTACACATTCTGACAGTGGCGTAAATGCATTTTCACGAGAAGCTCAAGGAAACAAGCGTTGAGAATGTTTATAGACAACACCAGGGGGATAAAAACAGAGTAGCATCGGCTGACAGAGGAACACAGGCAGGTTAACTGATGACTGCAATTTCTCTTCAAATGCATCCAATAAATATGAACAAGGCTCACTCCATGAAGGTTAAACTAATCTAATCCCAGTTCACTCTAGCTGTCAGACAGTCGTGGCTAAGAACTACATCAAGACTAACGATGCTTCTTAAGTGCTCCTTGCCCAAAAATGTAATGGACAACGGTGGTTTTCTACACAACGAATTACCTAGAAGCCAAACATAAAATGTAAACAATGGCTGACATCAATTTACCTTGACATTAGGGCTGCACAATATATTGTTTCAGCATCGATATCGCAATGTGCGCATCCGCAATGAACAAATCGCAAAGATATGCAATGTCTAATCTGAATAGTAACTGAGCAGGAGCTACAGAATTGTATTTAATCAATGTATTTATATGTAATTTATATGATTTTTGCAGAAAAAAAATATTACTTAGAATTTTTGTCTTGTTGTCAGTCCAAATATCTACATTTTATAGCAAAAACAAGATTATTTCACATACGCCACTGGCAGATCCTTTCGCTGAAAAAAAGCTAAATCAATATCAAATTTCTCCAATATTGTGCAGCCCTACTTGAGATTCGCTTGTAAAATGACAGCAAAAACAAACTGGCTACTACGAAAACAATGGATTAAAGATTTATACTCAAGTTTGTTAAAGCATATTCATGATAAACTTATTACTAACCAGAGATTATTATACATATTTAATGCAGGCAGCTTTGATCTTAAATGTGAATTGCTGGGATTTGAATGGGGGAAAGTTGGAACAAAGCAACTAACACAATGTAACTCAGGGGTTCAGGTGGATCGAAAGACCCACCCCCAACTGATGAAGTCCAGAATTTGGCCCCTAGATTAGCTCATTTGTCTCAATTTTGACAGTATGCCATCATAAACTGTGAAAATAATTGATAAAAGAGGGCTTAAAGACGAATGTAATTATTAATTATTTTTAAAATGGACAAATTCTGCAAATGAGCTGGCTAGTTTGTTACTTGCCTATAGGCTACAGTTTTTAATTTAAAACAAGTGGAACAGATTCCTTTTTCAATGATGGATGATAAAAAATGATCATTTAAAAAAAGCTAAGTATTTTTTTTATCTTATTACAATATTTATAAAACTGTAATAACGTAATGCACATTTGTAAATAAACACAATTCTTGTAAACAAAATATAGTTTATGTCAGATTAAGCACTTTGACAAAAATGTAGGAAATGTTTTGTTGTATCAAAAAGTGTGGTAATGATAACCATCGTACAAGCTAAATTTGGTGCTTAAAATGTCCCCAAAATGCAGTATTTGAACCTCATAATTGAATAGAAAATGAGGCAAATGAATGCGAAGAGGTCCACGAGCATGTAACAGAAGGGACAGTGTTTTCTCTTACAGATGTAAAGCACAGTGATTTATGGCGGTTTAGAAGTCAGTTTTCTCTTCACCTGAGATTTTCTCACCATTGAGTGTGAAATACAAAACATGAAGCGGAATATGTTATCCACTCTCAACTTCAGATCCAGACTCCAGACCAGACTTTCAGTTTCCTTGATGGCACATAAAAGTAGTTACTCCTATTTATCGAAAAATTATTTTAATTAGTAGGGAGGAACTACGAAATAAAATGGAAAGCAATAAGCTGATTGTCCATTAAACGCTTGTGTTGAACCAGTTTGAAAACGGAAATGACATATGAGCTATATGAAGTACAACATCACTCTGTTGATATTGCTTAAACATTAATAAAATTTAAAAGAAAACTTTTCAGACTTATGTTGGCTCCTGTGGGGAATTTTATTTATGTTACTAAATGATTGAATTAATCAGATTGTGCAAATATGTGAAATTAATTACAGTGTAAAGCTAACGTTCTGTCAATGCTGATAAAGGCTAAAATATCAATAACATAAACGATGGTTATGTTGACGCATGATTTGGACGTTTTGTAGCTCTCGTAACGCGTCGAGGCATTTCAAGTAAAACTGTACGTTAGCTGTCAAAGAGCCTTATCCTCATTCAAAACATCTCGCGAATGTCTCGCAGGATTCTTACGTTATTTTGTTGAAAAATAATGTCGCAGGTCGACGGAAATAAAAGGAATGCTGGCAAGGGTTACATTGTAGCCAAACACAACATTCCTCTCGGCGAGCAAAGGCAAACTGGCAGAATCGGATCATGCTAATCAAGTGTGCGAATGCTGCCTCTGATGACAAATCACAACGCTGTGCCATAAAAATGTACAGAAAACCACCAAAATCATAACTGACCCAATAGTACACATGTTTGAGCTAAAAAACTTACCTTCTAAAAGGTGAGACGAAGTGACAAGCGCCTCTGCAGGCTTCCTGTTCTAAACTTGTCGTATGTCGTTGGAAAAAAACATTGTACGCGGAAGTGGAGACAAATTCAAGCGCGCGATGTTTGACTGCAGATTAACAAACAAGACTAAACCATTCTTAATTTGCGAAAATTTGATAAATATGCTTAGTGGTTCCAGGGTGCCATCGACAGAGAAGCTGTGTGTTTTTTTGCTTTGGGGAACGTAACTTTTCGCCTTCCACCGCCTCTTCCTGTATGACTTGCGACCACCAGAGGCCAAACGGTGTCCAGAAATTCATTTCATCTATGTCCGTGTGGTTACGAGCAGTGTTACACTAAATTCGTTCCCCTCCATTAGAACGGCTCTCAGGGCTCTTCGAACACTACACGGCTCCCTGTGGTATTACTCTACACATTTTCACCATTTATGAAATAAGCCTGACCTTTACTTTGAAATACGTTGATCTGTATGTGCAGAAAATATGAGCCTGTAGTCTTTTATTTAGCTTTTTAAAAATATTTTTTTCTATTGTCAACTTAATCTCTGTATTTAAGGCATTCTGTGAATTTGACAAGACCAATGTCTAAATAAAAAACTGTCCAAGAGTCATCTTTTAACACTATTGAAAACTAATTATAGCATTCATTTATTTATTATATTTACAGATAAAATAATAATTAGACCCCCAGTGAAATTGCTATTTATTATTTTTTTCATTTTCATTTGTTCATCAGGGGTCTCCACAGCAGAATGAACCACCAACTTATCCAGTATATGTTTTACACAACGGATACTCTTCCAGCTGTAACCTAGTACTGGGAAACACTCATACACTCTCACATTAAACACATACACTATGGCCAATTTAGTTTATTCAATTCACCTGTACTGCATGTCTTTGGAATATGGGGGAAACCGGAGTATCCAGAGGAAACCCACGCGAACATGGGGAGAACATGCAAACTCCACACAGAAATATCAAATGACCCAGCCTTGACTCCAACCAGCAACCTTTTTGCTGTGAGGCGACATGGCTAACAACTGAGCCAACATGTCGCTCAAATTGTAATTTAAAAAAACTCAAATGTTGTTTAACATATATAAGCTTTTTTTAAACACATTTAAACATGATAGTTTTAAATTTTATTGCCTTGGCTATCATGACAAAATAATATTTTTCTTATTATTTTGCAAGATATTAGTATTCAGCATAAATGTGAGTTTTCAAACATTCATTTATTCATCAATTTTTCTTTGGCTTTGTCCTTTTACTCATCAGGGGTCGCCAAAGTGGAATGAACCGTCAACTTATCCAGCACATGTTTTACACAGCGAATGTCCTTTCAGCTGTAACCCAGTACTGGGAAAAATTCATACACACTTATTCACACACACACACACAATTAACCTATAGTGCATGTCGTTGAACTGTGGGGGAAACCCATGCCAACACAGGGAGAACATGCAAACTCCATACAGAAATGCCAACTGGCCAAGCCAGGACTTGAATCAGCAACCTTAATGTAAGCCACCAGTGTCACCAGTTTTCAACAAAATTGGGAAAAATAGTTAAATCTAAATAACCTTTCAATTAACATTTTAAAATGCAACATAAGCAAATTTTAAGAATTTAAATAACATTTTCCACAGTACTGAACCTTGAAGTACAAAGTTACACTGGGTGTCAATGTTTTTCATGTAAGAATAATTCAGAGCACGTTTAATTGAACTGAAAGAAAAATCCACAATCTCACAATTCAATCTCAAGAATATTGTTTATTGCTCTTGAAGATATTACTCTTTACTCATTTTTTGTTCTAGTCATCCTTTCTGTTTTAAATTTTACAATAAAACAAAGAAAAGTTTTACTGTAAGGTAAATGGTATTTTTTCCTTTTCAATGTGTACACACAAATACGCAAAGTCCTATGTACAGCGGAAATCTTCTGTAGTATGGGCAAGTCAAGTAACCAACTGTCAAGTAACAACTCATTTAAGTTCTTATCTCGAATCTGATAAGAACTTTCCAAAGAATATCTGTGAAAACCGTTGACTCAGGTTGGTAAAATGTATTTGGCCCTTATTTTCCCCACTTCCTCGTTTTCAAGATTCATTAACGTGTGTCATTCTGCTCCAAATTGATGTACATCTTTACATTCAATTCGAATGTTCATATATTAAAACTTGATAAACATCAGAGTGAACACTGGTTAAAAAAGGAGCAGATCCTGCAACTAATATTATTCACACTTGATTAATTATAATACCCCACCACTGGGCAAATGAATTATTGAAAAGTGAAACGAGCGGCATAACTCAGTCCAGTAGGGTCATCATTTGGGCATAAATAGGGAAAATTTCCAAAGGGCACAATTAGAGGAAGCAGATATTTTTTATTATTATTATTTTTCGCACACTCCTCAGTCCATTCTTTTGAGCAATGTGAAAAACAACTGCTCCACATTGGTCAACTTTGGATCACTACACATATATTACTTAATCATTTCCCTGCCTCATATATCACTCTTGAATTAGGTACAGAGTAAAATGACACCAATACAACTATCCCATATAGTAATAGTAATTGAACATAATGTACACAATAATAAAATATATACAGTGAAATAGATACAAATTTTCAATATTCACTGACATGAGCAGTATTTTCTCTCATTCTCAGGCTCATAAAGTGTTTGTTTAAAAAAAGATATGAACAGGACATGAAATGTGAAATAAATAAATAAATAAATAAATAAATAAACATTAGCTTCAGAAGACTACGAAGGGCTTGGATTTTTATTTTAACCACAAGATGGCAATGTTTGACTATAAATTTGTCTGAATCCTTTGGAATCAGCACAATAAAACAAAAGTGCCTTATTGCTGCGCAACTGAATCAGGTTAAAATGACTCTCAATGCCATTATTGCATTTTGCTTGCATTACATTGTTCAACTGAACACTGTATTGCAGAGCTTAGCATTACTTAAAGAAAAGTCTGGGAAATACATGAAGCAGAACAAACCTACTGTCTGTCTCAGCAGGGCCAGAATGCAGTGCAGTTTTAAAAAGTGAGTGATTAAAGATACACATATTAACTTACTGTGCTGTCTTAGCTACAAGATATCTCATTGTTACCGCTTCCTATGATGAGAGAATAATAATTTCCTTTTCTTTTTATAATGTTGAAATTTTTGAAGCAGTTTTTGTGTTGCATTTTGATTTCTAAAATGACAGGGGCCATTCACATAAACATGTTTTATTATTTTTATAATTATTATAATTATTATTATTATTATTATTATTATTATTATGCAGTGATCTTCCATTTGTTTTCTATGTATCAGATTTAGATTTAAGTTCTCAGCCTTTTACCATCCACAATAACATTTAAAGAACTCAAAGCTTTTCCATTTATTTATTTTTTTATTGAGTGTTTAAACATTATAAAACAATGATTAAATCGAATACATTAAAATGAAAAATATTTTAAAACACTTTTTTCTTCTTTAATTAAAATTTTTTTAGCAAAAATTCATTTACGGTATTTTAAGTAATCTTTGAATTTACCAGATCTAAAAATCTCATATTTAATATTTCCCTTATGTGTTCCAATACTAGGGGGAACAAAGTTATTTATTCATTCATTTTCTTTTCGTCTTAGTCCCTTTATTAATTAGGGGTTGCCACAGCGGAATGAACCGCCAACTTATCCAGCATATGTTTTACGCAGCAGATGCCCTTCCAGCCGCAACAAATACTTGAAAACATCCATACACACTTGCATTCACACACATACTCTACGGCCAGTTTAGATTATTCAATTCAACTATAGCGCATGTCTTTGGTCTGTGGTGGAAACTAAAGCAGGAAACCCACGCCCGAATCAGCGACCTTCTTGCAGTGAGGCGGTCATGCTACCCACTGCGGCACTGTGATGAAAATTACTGTGAACAAAATTAATTAAATGTAAATTTTAAAAAAAGCAAACCTTGTTTCACAAAAAAAGTTGTTGTTTTAACCCAGTGTTGGTTAAAATATGAACAGACCCAAATATTGGGTTAAAAAGTGTCCTTAACATTTAACTTAAATAAAATTACCCAATGTTGGGACTGTACATATTTGACTCAATAATCATTTTGCATTCATGTTAGTCATCTGTTCGGCTTGGAAATTTCCTGAGGCCCCTAGTGAGTCTCAGGACCTAGTGCAAGACTGATGTGTTTGAGCATTGCATTTGAGTGTTTTGCAGCACTTAAAGCCTGACACGGCTTTGAAAATATATTAAACTCCATTTAAAAGTTCACTTTTTCAACTTGCATCTCAAAGTCTTACGTTTTTGACCTATTCTGCCAATCATCCAAATCTAAAACACATTCAGTGTGAATGGCCCCTAAGACTGCATTGTGCGATTCCAAAAACTGAACAAAGCAGAATACTCGAACAGCACGAGTGGCTTGAGAGAACACTAAAACATTGGACAGGAAAAAAAAAGTTGTAAATATACAGTATTATTCCACAAATGCAGGAATCCACAGACAGAAAAAGGAGAAAGAGAGAACCTGCAAGATAACAGAAATCACACACAACAGAACATATTAACTGTGAGCAACTTTCAGAGTGTCTGTTTCCCTGTGCCGCTCCACCATACTGAGGGAGGGAGAGAGAGACGGTGGCGGAGTCAGGGGTCCCAGGCTCTTGAGGGGATGTGGAGACACGGCTGGAGGAAGAGATGACAGAGGGGGCAAGATTCCCCCGAGACCCCCAGATTTGGCCTCCAGAAGATGTGAGCGCGCACCCAGCACCGGCTCCTTCCCCAAAGAGAAGTCCGGCTCATTCTCGTTCTCCGAGCTGCAGTCGCTTAGATCTGTGATCTCCAGCTCAGAGTCTGACTCCGGATCCTGCTTCACACCCTTTCTTCGCTCTGAAGGGCTCTGATGGCCTCCTCCGCTTCCTACGGTTACCCCTCCTAACCCCAATCCTAGACCCAAGCCCAAACCAAGAGCTCCAGCGGGTACACCAATCTCCCCTCGTTCCCGGTCGCCTACACCCGTTCCTCCATTCCCCAGTTCAGTCCGGCCTAATGATAGGCTCCCGGGATATGGCGGGATGCACAGTCTCGGAGGCTGACCACCAGCGGAGCCATTTGTTCCTCCCCGTTCTGTCCCGGCAGCGTCCCCGGGGGGCAGGAGTGAGGAGAAGGGGTGTGGTAACTGGGACAGGCTGGACTGAAGCTGGTTGGGGTAGAAGTGTGAGGAGTAGAGGGAGCCTGGAGGCAGTTTGGGACAGTTGTTGAGAGAAAAGGCCCCAGGGAGGTAAGGGTTGAAGCCCCAGGGGTAGTCAAAAGAGGGGCTCCGAGGGTAAGGGCCCAGTAGGGATGGAGGTTTAGAGTAACAAGGGGCTCCTGTGGGAGGGATTGACAAAACATGGAGAGGAAGACGGTGTTAATGTTTTTGGTTAGATGTTAAAGGTGGGATTATGAACAGAGAACATGAGGGGATTTAAAGGACTAGAAGGACATTTTGAATCATTGATTCTGAAAAATTGTACGCATATTGGGATGTTAAAGCAAAGCTTAATATTTAGAAGCCAGTTACCATAGTCTTATGTGTCACATGATTAGGCATGGCTTGATAACCGTTTTCAAGGTATACTGCAGTTTAGAATGAGCGTTTTAAAACTACCAAATTTTTATACTATACCATTTCTACGGTATGTGTAAGATTGTTTATTTGTTTTGTTTTTTAGGACAACAGTATCTCCAGCAGAAAAGATATCCAAAGATGCTGTTTTAAACTGTAAAAAAAAATCTTTGTTTTAGGAACTAATGAAGACAGCAGAAGGCAATGATTCATCTGAATGATTTAGCCAGACATATTTACTGTTACAAAATACTTTAAATGTTTTTTAAAATAAAATATTTTGTGTTCAAAAAACACAAAAAAAGTGGTTGTTTTTTACTCAGATATTTTAAAATATATATTTTAGAGCAGTAATCACAATACAATGAGTGTTCAAACTACTTAGCTGAAACAACAATTATTGAGTTTTTTTTTTTTTGGAACAGCTAAATAGTTTTATGTTCAGTCCACTTTAATTTGTTAGAAGAATTAACTTAACTTAATCGTTTTGTGTTGGGACAAAATTAAAGAATTGTGTGGAACCCAGCATTTTTGATTGTGGGGTTTTGAAACAGTCCTTTTTATTATGAATGTTTAAAAAGTTGCAATGTGAACCATTTTATTATACAGTTGAAGTAAGAATTATTTGCCCACCTTTGAATTGTTTTTTCTTTTTTTAAATATTTTTCACAAATTATGTTAAACAGGTCAAGGACATTTTTACAATATGTCAAATAACATTTTTTCTTCTGGAGAAAGACTTATTTTTTTATTTATGCTAGAATAAAAGCAGATTTTATTTTATTTTTAAAAACATTTTAAGGTCAAAGTTATTAGCCCTTTAAGCTATATTTTTATAGTGTACAGAACAAACTATTGGTAAACAATAACTTACTTAATTACCCTATCCTGCCTTGTTAACCTGATTAACCTATATAAGCCTTAAAAAATGACTCTTTAAGCTGTATAAAAGTGTCTTTAAAAATATCTAGTCCAATATTATTTACTGTAATCATGGCAAATATAAAATAAGTCAGCTATTAGAAATGAGTTATAAAACAATTATGTTTAAAAATGTGTTTAAAAAAATCTTCTTCCTGTTAAACAGAAATTGGGAAAAAAAATAAACAAGGGGTAATAATTCAGGGGGGCTAATATTTTTGACTTTAACTAAATAATTTTTTTTCTGGATTTTTTGCTGAATAGAAAGTTCAAAAGAACAGCATTTACATGAAATAAAAATCTGTTTTTTGAATCTTACCTTGCTCGATATAAATGTTTTATTTAAATCTGACCACATACATTAAAAAAATCTCTATATTGTTCAAATACATAAAAATAAGCAGTTAAATTCCCTGTGAATAATTAATCAATTAGGGTTAATACTTTATATGAATTAAAAAAAAAAAAAAAAGATATAAATTCCACCAGCCTTTTAAATAACAGATAACAAAAAGGGAAGGTACAATGATTAATTAAATCATTATATTATTATTATTATTATTAATAATTTGTAATTAATACATTACTTTTAATAATAAAATTTAACACTCAACATTTTCAACAACAACAAAAATAAAAATAGTTTTATAAAAAGTAAATATGTAAGATAAAACAGTATTTAATTAAGCATACACTGAAAAAAATTGTCTGCAAAATTGTTGCAAACAATACATGTGTTGATTTTAAACAAACTTTTAAAAAAGCCCCTGTAAAAAATATAAATTTACTGATGTTCTTAACTTAATTTGTTTGTTTAAATTCAGTCCAAATAAATTTCTTACAACCACTTTACTTAAAAAAACTAGTAAATCCATGGAATCATCTTTGAATCATTCTTTTCAGTTTATTTGAGTTTACTTATATTTAATAATTAATACAAATGATTTATTGAATTATAATCATATTCTCAAATGTACAATCAAGACGACACAAGTTTAAATCTGATTTCACAATCCTACAATACATGTTTTTGTTTACAATACAAACAGGTTTCCTTCTTATTAAATGTTCACCTTTACTTCTTCCTCAGCCTTTTTCTTCCTTCAATCCTGCCTACTTTACTTTCTCTCCCTCTCTTTTTTCATCTCCTCTGCTTCTCTGTGTTATTTGCTATGCAGGGCTAATTTGACAGTGCTAGTGTGTGTGTGTGTGTGTAGGGCCAGGAGTAGCTGGCAGACACATGAATATTGAATCAGTCAGGCAGGCCTCACTTGCTTATGAAAACACAGTAATGGGCGCCACAGGCCACAAACTGAAGCCTGCACCCTCAATTAGGGCCTTCCTGCTTGGGAAGGGATTAGGACAGCGGGTACACATGGGAGACAGAGAGGGGTAAGGAGAGGAGGAGGGCGGAACAGGACCTCAGGACAAACTAAGTTGAAGAGGGTTTTTTGGGGGGGGGGCTGAGGAGTTGCTTTGACATACTCATGCCCTCATACATTCTGATACACCCATATTTCAGTGCGTTCAGAGCATCGGAAAAGACAAAGGAGTGTGTAAATGACGTTCACAGAAAAGCTAGAGCGCAGAAATGCAAATGGAAACAAACAATGGAGAGATTTTAAGGATACAAATAGATGATAATGGCTTTTTGATAATTTTCTGATATTTTTCTAAATTTCGCAGTGGTGTTAATCGCCGTACCAGATGCTTGAAGACGATTTATTTACAAATATAAACATTCATCTGATCCACAACATGCCTCAGATATTGACTGGAAAAGTTCTTTTTTTATAGGCGTATTGTTTGCTGACAACTTACAGCAAGGCTTCATTTTTTAACAATTAGTTAACTGAATTTACCTGATGAAAACTAATAAAGTGATGTTTATTTGTTTGTCTGTACGTTTTCACATCTGCAACTTATGGCTATATTTATGTTAGTTTGTAGTTAATGTAATTCAGTAAGTGATAATATATATCATAATTTATGTATATCTTATTATTTTATCTTTAAATATTTGGTTTATTTATTTACTTATTATTATTGCTGTTTGATTTTTATTAATTTATTATAATTATTTAATTTATAAATGTAAATAATTTATTCTGTCTTTCTTTAGCATTTTGTTGTCTGTTGGTTTGTTTCAATATTTTTTGTGATTATTAGTTAAAATGTTAATAAATAGATGCAAAATAATGTGACTCAGTACACTAAAATGCCTAATTAAAATAAAATAAAATAAAATAAAAAAGTAATAATTTTATCTAATGAATGGAGCTAATAACAAATACAACACTAACAAAAAATAAATAAATAAATAAAAAATAACAATAACATAACATCAGTAACAAATAAAGCTGAAGTCAGAATTATTAGCTCCCTTTGAATTTTTTTCTTTTTTAAATATTTCCCAAATGACGTTTAACAGAGCAAGGAAATTTTTACAGTATGTCTGATAATATTTTGTTCTTCTGGAGAAAGTCCTATTTGTTTTATTTCGGCTTGAATAAAAGCAGTTTTAATTTTTTTTAAACATTTTAAGGTCAAAAGTATTAGCCCCTTTAAGCTTTAAAGCTTTAAACTTTACTTTTACTTTTTTTTTGATAGTCAACAGAACAAACCATTGTTATACAATAACTTGCCTAATTACCCTAACCTGCCTAGTTAACCTAATTAAATGAGTTAAGCCTTAAAATATCACTTTAAGCTGTATAGAAGTGTCTTGAAAAATAACTAGTACAATATTATTTACTGTCATCATGGCAAAGTTAAAATAAATCAGTTTTTAGAAATGATTTATTCAAACTATTATGTTTAGAAAAGTGTTGAAATTTTTCCTCTCTCTGTTAAACAGAAATGGGGGGGGGGGGGGGATAAACAGGGGGGCTAATAATTCTGACTTCAACTGTTTATGAGCTATTTCTCACTTTTGGTGTAAACTACCATTATGTGCCTAGTTCAAAATTATAAGCAATGTGAACTATATCTGCATATCACCAGTTTCCAATCACTACTCTGAAAAATCAAAGAAAGTTTAATTTGGTAAATCTGTCTTTATTTATTTATCTATTCAGTTAGTTAGTTAATACCTGAGCCAAGGAAAGGGAAAGTGTCCAGTCTCAGCTTGTCTCCATCAGGTCCTGGGGCTCCTGCGTTGCGTTCAAACAGAGATGGCCCTCTACCCGATTCAGGCAAACGGGGGAATAATGTCTGAAGGGCCTGGGATAGGATACATGAAAAGATACATGTTTAAAATCATAGTAGTAGTAGTAGTAGTAGTAAAAGTAGTAGTAGTAGTAGTAGTAGTAGTAAAACTTTATTGTCCTTGACAGGACATTTGTTATGGGCATCACTATATTGCTGCAGACATTCCATAAACATATAATAACAACAATACAAAATACAGTAGTTATAATAATTATAATGCTAATTAGGAAAATTTATTAAGTAAACTCACTGAAACTAGAACAAAGAATCTCTTATATCGGTTCAACCTACGCTTTGGCACTCTGTATCTCCTACCAGAGTGAAAGCAGTTCAAAATGTGGAAACAAAAAATTAGTTGGATCATTCAGAATCCATCCACCTGATTGAGGCCACAATTCTCCTATAAAACTTGAGGATTCAAATATTCATCATGCCCAACAATTTTCCATCCTGTCTTTAAAAGATGCATCAACAAGATTTATTAGGTAAATAATAATAAATATCAGTGCATGAATAGTGTTTGAATCACAGATCAACAAACTAAGATGTTATATTTACTTTTTCTTGTTAAAAAATCATTTATACATTACATCAAAGACATCATGGTGTCTATACAATTTTCAATTAAAAAAAGTGATTTTTAATATGAACAAAAAGCATATTAAATAGCATGAAAATAAAAAGATTTTAAATAAAAAGCAAAATATAGGTGAAAAAATATTCTATTATCTTTTATTGTGACACACTGTAAAACACTGTAAAACACTGTAATTCTGACTGACTGGTTAAATTGTCTTTTATAAAATGACTGATCAAGATGGGATCTTCAGATTCATTTATAACAATTTAGAAAATGATGATAAAAGATGACAAGAATTCCGTTATTCTCCAGTAAACTGTCACAGTATATTCATCTTGATAAGCTGATAATGGATCACAACACTCAAAACAATAACTGTATGATAATATTCACACAACTATCAATACTTTGTTAGCTTCAGTGAAACCCCTATATATATATATTAGCCTGTAGTCATATATTAAACCTAATATCAAATGTACATATGAAGTGAAAACTACATGCATGAACACATTTATAATCAGATCATAAAATATAAAAATGACAAAGCAGACAGAATCCACTGCTGCATTATGAATGCATAATCTAAACATAAGGAATGTAAATCTATCATGACATCTTTAATGCTCTTTTAGAAATCCCCAAAAAAGCATCAGTCAGAATAGGCCACAAAATGATCCTGGGGCTTTACCTCCCAAAATGAGCAATGACTTTTGGGTGCAGATTAGAAGAGGGATAAAGCTCAGTAAAGGAAACCTGGAAGTCATCGCAGGAATCCTAGCGGATGAGCAGCGTAAAGATTTTCTCTTTTTTATTATCAGTGACATGAAGGTGATCGATCATTTCTGTCACTCTTCTCTTCTCGCTGAGAAAGGACTGTACTTCGAAGCTACATAATCTGGATTGCTTAAGCAAACCGCATTAATTACACGACACTGATCTGACAGCTCCACCTTCTCTTTTATTTCTCACATGTCTTTCATTTTCAATCAATGGCAGTGATGAATAGGACAGAGACAGGGATGTGAGGAAAGGGATAATGTCTTCTTTTGTTTTAAGGCTTCTTAACGCCGTCTGTGACATTCTCTGCACTTTCTTCTTCACCTCTGGATCTTTTCCTTCTCCTTCAGTCTCCTCTAGACAAGATGTAACGCAGATAACTTTCTCAGGATAGTTGCTTTTTTATTTGCAAGGCAAAAGTAAAATCAGGTTATTATTCTATTTTTACCAGCCTGCCGTTTTGAAGGCAAGACACCAGGTGAACGGGATAAATAGCTTAACTAATAGTTATTATCACCATACTTCCCCAGCTGATTGGTTACATAAAGACTTGAACAAGTGGAATTCTAGACTGAATGGCCATAGCGATACTTCTGGCTGTTCATGTAAGATTTTAGTCACGTCATATTTATGTTCAAAGCTTCTGAAGGATTCGGATTTCTGCCTTCCAATCCATCTCATCATGGACCAACGTTTAACCTTTTCTCATCATCCTGTTTCTCAGTATTTAACTGTGAATTGATTTTAATTATTGAATAAGTTAAACCATTGCTTAATATAAGATTGTTCAGTGCATTTGCCTGTCTCTTTATACCTATTTTCAGGAGCCAGCAAACTAGGTCAGAGGTCATGGAGACCTTGAGTGGAACTGAGGTCTGAGGACTGGAAACAACTGTTTCTATTGTTATTTCTACGAGTTAATACTGTCTAAAATGTCTAAAGTGATTTTGCTATTTTTATGGTTAAATCTTTTAAAGTGATTCTACTTTTTATTCAAGATAGACTTTGTGTAGTGAGGAATTATAACTGCCTGAATGTAGATGATACTGGTTTTTAACCAGTTTTGATAAAGACGGCTGAGAGTACACTCAGCCTTGGATAAGAAACAGATTATACTTTATGTGTGTGTTCTATTTAATTGTTGATCCGTTTCACAAGTCTGGAGTCAGCTCTAATCAGTCTAAGGGATGTCTGACGTTTATGCTTAAGATAATGTTCAGAACTGTACGCACAAACCCCACGTGGAAACTTTCCTAGTCTCTGTGTTTTAAGCAATCAGTTTAGAACACCTATATGTGTGACGCAGTTAATGACATTATGTGAGAGTATAATTGTTATTGATTGGTAATTTGTAAGCAGAACGGCCTAGGAACTCATTGCGAGTGTTGAAGCTGGCTTCTGCTGATGAAACTGCAAACTATCTTCAGTAAATTTGATTTATTTATTTAAATCTCTGACTCCGGCTTTTCTTCATCTACCAGACTGGTCATTCTTTGGGTCAAATTATAAACTATCCCTACATTCTGTTCAGTTTTTAGAATCAATCTTTTAATGTCTGTCATCATATTTGATGAAGTCAATACCCTAAAAATAATATTTTGTAATATAGCATATACACTCACCGGCCATTTTATTAGGTACACCTTACTAGTACCTAGTTGAACCCCCTTTTGTCTTCAGAATTGCCCTAATGCTTCATGGTATACATTTAACAAGGTACTGGAAATATTCCTCAGAGACTTTGGTCCCCATTGATATGATGGCATTACACAGTTGCTGCAGGTTTGTTGGCTGCACATCCATGATACCAATCTCCTATTCCACCAAATCCCAAAGGTGTTCTATTGGATTGAGTCTGGTGACTATGGAGGCCATTTGAGTACAGTGAACTCATTATCATGTTTAAGAAAGCAGTCTGAGATGATTCACACTTTATGATATGGTAGTTATCCTGCTGTACGTAGCCATCAGAAGATTGGTACACTGTGGTCATAGAGGGATGGATACACAGGTAGGGCCCAAAGTGTGCCAAGAAAATATCCCCCACACCAATATGCCACCATCACCAGCCTGAACCATTGATACAAAGCAGGATGAATCCATGCTTTCATGTTATTGATGCCAAATTCTGACCCTAGCATCCGAATGTCGCAGCAGAAATTGAGACTCATCAGACCAGGCAACGTTTTTCCAATCTTCTATTGTCCAATTTTGGTGAGCCTGTGTGAATTAAAATCTCAGTTTTAGCTGACAAGAGTGGCATCCAGTGTGGTCTTCTGCTGCTGTAGTCTATCCGACTCAAGGTTCAATGTGTTCAGAGATGCTCTTTTGCAGACCTAGGTTGTAACGAGTGGTTATTTGAGTTAATGTTGCCTTTCTATCAGCTCAAGCCAGTCTGGCCATCCTCCTCTGACCTCTGGCATCAATAAGACATTTGCGCCCACAGAACTGCCACTCACTGGACATTTTCTCTTTTTAGACCATTCTCTGTAAACCCTAGAGATGGTTGTGCAAGAAAATTCCAGTGGATCAGCAGTTTCTGAAATACTCAGACCAGCTCGTCTGGCACCAACAACCATGCCACGTTCAAAATCACTTAAATCATCATTCTTCCCTATTCTGATGCTCAGTTGGAAATGCAGCAGATCGTATTGACCTTGTCTGCATGCCTAAATGCATTGAGTTGTTGTCATGTGATTGGCTGATTAGAAATTTGCGTTAACGAGTTGTTGGGCAGGTGTACCTAATAAAGTGGCCGTTAAGACTATATGTGTGTGCAAGTTAGAGAGCTCCCAAAAGTGCGTAACTCACTTTTTAAAGCAAGCAGGAGAGAGTTTTTTATGGCAGTGAAAAGGTTGTCTTTAAAAGGTGAAAGAAGTTGTGTTTTTGATACCAGAAAGTTTTTGTTCGAAAAAGTTGTTCGGCAACAGACAAGTACATTCAAAGAAAATACATGTGGGTAATTTTACCGTTATGGCCATTCAAGGTGAAAATACTCTGAACTTTTTTTGTGTTTTGTAATTGTAATAAAATAAAAATGTTATAATGCAACGCAGATTTAGGAAAGTTCATGATTTTAAAGTCTATATATATTTTATATATTTTTTTATATATATGGGTTTAATTTTATAAAAATTGTTATTTTAAAAAATTTACATTATATTAAAAACTAGGGCTAGAAAGTCAAAAAGTTTGCAAAAAAATTTGTTTTAATAGGAAAATTATCCATTATTTCATGGAATATGTGCTAATTTGGATACATTTCCAGCACAAGAAGCTGAACATTGGATTATTCCAGATTCAAATTCATGTTTCATTTTTCAAGGTTTTAACAAAGGGATTTTGGAAATACCACCACAACAACAAAAAGCACATTTTTACGTTTTTGTAGAATAAAATGTTGAATACAATCAAGCAAACTACTTTATATGTGAACAAATGCATTAGTAGGCCTTCATAATGCATATATGAATAAAACTGTAAAGTTTGGTTTAAGTGTGCTGTGCTGAAGTGGAGAGTTATTAAATGATTAAACAGCCTTTAAAATGTTTATTGTATTGAAATCTACAAACAGAAATTGGTAAAGTGTAGCAAAACTGCTTTAACTGTACGTTTTCGCTTGCAGGGTCTCACTTTTAATTACCTTGTAAGGCAAATTTACCACCATTTTATTCTTTTTAAGCATTTACACTTTTAAGAAGTGAATTCAAGTTTCAAATTTGACTAAGCCTTTATTGATCAAACCTGCTCTCTGTCTCTTTGTATTCAAACGGGACATATAAATTTATGATTTGCCCCTGGTATTCAGACGATAACTATTTTAGTTAAAGTTTAACATTGACTGAAGGCAAATAATTGCTGAACAGCAATACTAGAGCAATTACAGTTGAAAAGAAATAAAATAAAAAGCAAAAAAGATACCTACATACTGATTGACTCCGTACAATCAATAGCCTGATCCCTCACATCAAAGCTAACACAGAGAGCCTTATACAGTATGGATAGAAAAAAAAAAACATCAATCATTAAACACAGGCAATAGAGCTGTTATTATCACAGAGCACGTCAAGCTCTTCAGCTTTTTGTCTGACTTTATTTTTCTTCTCTAGCTGGCAGCTTGTGCCTGTCTCTCATTTTTAGATTGTTCTGTTGATATTATGCTTCTGTAAACACACCATGATGAATGAATTCATTTCCTCTCACCTCAGGTGTGACAGGGCTGCAGTCCGGTGTCGCTGCTCCTCCATTGAAGTGGTTTTGGGCCAGCAGGAATGGGGAACTCGCCATGTCCAGCAGCGGGTAATTCACCAGAACCACCTTGCTGAAGTTGAACTTGTAGGTGAAGCGTTTGCCTTTGGTTTTGTGCAAAATGCGTTTGTTGTAGTAGTATCTGCAAGATGGAGAACACAGGAAATACAATCCAATAAGGTGTAAGTGCAGCACTTGTGTTACAAGCAGTTATGTTAAACTAATTCTATACTTAATGATGTGGTTGCAATTAGTGCAATTCGACAAAACTCAGGTAAAAACTTTTGTCTTTAAATTTATATTTATTTAGTTTTAAATGAAATTTCACTAATATTATTGTAATATAATAATAATAATAATAATATTAAAATGTTCATATGATTTATTTACAACACATTTTGTAAAGTAATATTATCTGTCTTTTAAAAGATATATTATATAAGAGACTTGCTTCGTTCACCATCTAATTAGATTTGCATTGTAAACATTGAATAAAAGTTAAAAATGTTTTCTTTTTTATTTCATATATTAAGGTTTTCGTTTTACAAATATCATTCCATACAAATCAGCAGATTTAAAAAAAAATCTGCAGAAATAGCAAAAAATGTCCGCAGATTCTGTCAGGCCATTATTATTGGTTTGATTCCCATGAAAACTGACCACGTTATAATCAATCAACATTGTGCAGCTGCTGTTAACAATGAAGTTGAAGCTGTGAATATTGTGACCTGTGATCAATGAACAATAGTTTTAATAAACATTAACGCAACACATTAGATGGATAAAATCTAGTTGGAATGTTTATGAGATACAGTCAAGCCCAAAATCATTCATGCCCCTGGCAAACTCTGACTTAGACACAAAAGTTACTTTTATTAAACCAGCACGTTATTTTTTTTGACCGGTGTTCTGTCGATTTGTCCTACCTTGTCAGATTTTCCTACCTCCCATTCAAAAAGTAGGTAGCACATTTTAATGTGGAGTAGTGTGATATAAAGCTATAATGTTGCCCTAATCTACCTAATCCCTAACCCCAACCCCACAGTGTTGGTAACATAATCTGATGGGTAGTATAAAATGTCAGGACACCAGAGATGACACAGCCTTCTCCCAAAGATAATAAGATGATATCAATATATAGATAAATCAATCAACCAATAAGATTAAATTGGAGTTTGTGCATGTATCAGAGGAAAATCTGTGTCAGTGTTTAGTGCATTAGTGCATTAATTCTTGCTTGGTTGACATTGAAAATCTGACTTCTGCCTGATAACTGACTACTCTGCTGTTTTGCCTTTTTTGGATTTGTTCGCTGACTGTAAATATTTGTACCATTTTAAGTAGGGACCTTGATGCCTTTTTCTTTTGTACTTTCTATTTTAATTGTTTTTGTGGACAAGGGAGTTAGGTAAGAAAGTGTTTTTTTTCCTTTCCTTTTGCTGAAAAGAGGGAATTTAGAGGGGATTTGAATTTAGATTGTTTTATCATTTTGGGCCTAGTCAGCTCCTGAAATTGAAAAAAAAAAGAGACAAAATTTGTTTGAGAAAATAATTGTAAAAAATAAAATCTTTATATATTTTCTTAAGCAGCATCGTGTGTGCAGTCTTCCCTTTCATGTTCACTAGAAGGGGCGTAACAGGCTTTTAATGAAAACCCTTTTTAATGATGTTCAGAACAATTTCATAATCTAAATAAAGCTTTTTTCATTGTAAAGAACCTTTTGCGAAATGAAAATTTCCATAGTTGTAATAGGTTGTTTATGAATGCTAATAAAGAACCTTCAATAAAAGTTCCATCTGGACATTACTACCATAAAAAACAGCATGTACAGCAGGTACAGTACGTACTCTATACAGTTGAAGTCAGAATTATTAGCCCCCGTTCGAATTGTTTTTCTTTTTTAAATACTTCCCAAATGATGTTTAACAGAGCAAGGAAATTTTCACAGTAAGTCTGATAATATTTTTTCTTTTAGAGAAAGTCTTATTTGTTTTATTTTGGCTAGAACAAAAGCAGTTTTTAATTTTTTAAACACCATTTTAAGGTTTAAATTATTAGCCCCTTTTAGCCCCTATATATTTTTTCGATAGTCTACAGAAACTAACAGAAACAGAAACAAACTATCGTTATACAATAACTTGCCTAATTACCCTAACCTGCCTAGTTAACCTAATTAATCAAGCATTTTAATTTCTCTTTAAGCTGTATAGAAGTGTCTTGAAAAATATCTAGTCAAATATTATTTACTGTCATCATGACAAAAATAAAAGAAATCAGTTATAGATGAGTTCATAAATTAATTTAGGGGGGCTAATAATTTTGACTTCAACTGTATATACTAACAATATACATGCTGTTTTGATCATTAAGCCATACAAATCTGGACAACATGAGGATGTATAAATGTCACACTGTTGATTTTTAAGTGAACTGTCCCTTTAAAAGAGGGAAAAACTGCCTCCGCCTCCACCGGAACATTTTCCAGGGTCATGGCCTTTCATTCGGGAGCACCAGTCCTGTCAGCTTCCTTATCTGCACAGCGATGACCGCTTAGATTTCCCTCAACATCACACAAAGCTGGTAATCAGAGAGCGATCTGAGTCTTTTCCCCTGACTATCAGCCGTCTGCACTCATCGCGGGTGTCAGAGCGCTTTGAGGATGCTCACCTGTGCATGAGAGCGAGCCTCTTTAATCTCAACACACTTTATGCTTGACTTCTCCTTACCCGGTCCGCCAGCCTACACGAGTTCCTGCGGTGCAATCTGCCGGTGCAATAATTTGTACGCTTTTATTTTATGTGGCAATTGTGCCCCTTAATTGAGCAATTAAGCAAGGCTAATCAACGAGGCTAATTATGGCCTGTGCCTATTCATAACAATTAGCGGCCAGCGACAGCATCTATTAAATGGAGAAGTGGAGGAGGGGAGCAAAGCGATAACAGAGACGGGATGAGAAATGGATAAGCGCAATTTGCATGAATGCCAGGCAAGCAGGGTCGTAGTTCAGACGTTAGAAGTTTTACGAGTTTGGAGTCTGAAAAGAGATCTGATATAAGTTTTTCGCGAAGGGACGAATCAATTTAAGACTTCATTTTCAAAATCCCCATCGACAAGTATTCTTTCTATGAGCCTCTCGCCGGAGAACATCCAGAATCCATTTAGATGTTCAAAGATTCCACAAATTGGAGTGTATTGATGTTCTTCAGAGGGAAGGCAGCACTTAAAATATCCACATACTATCAAGCATTGGAGGGGCCAAGGCTATTATACAGGATATTATGTGAGGAAAAAAATAAATGATGTTTTTCCCCCTCATCAGATGCGAGATAAAGCACGAGCGCACAAAAGAAACAGTCTGTGTACTCAACAAAGCACATGATGGAGAATATACATATTGCATGAGAGAACAATAAGAGGCAGCAATTAAGCATTAACACAGAAAACAGGCCTTTGAATATGAAACGCACACATGCTGTGCATACCTAAGTGCTCGACTGAGCTTGTCGTAGTTCATGTGAGGTTTGCACTTCCGAATGCCCCACAGTCTTGCCACCTCGTCAGGGTCTTTGATCACGAATTCACCATAGTCTCCCTGCCAGGCAATCACCCCCTGGTATTCCTCCTTCTGTAGCAGCTCCAGGATGAAGTGCCACAGCTGGATCTGCCTGGAGCCTGGGCTTGACTCTGGCTTATAGGCCCACTCTGGGAAGGCGATGCCTGAGGAAATGGAGGCGAGTAAGTGAAAGGATTTGGATAAGGCTTGTTGGTTTTGTTACTTGCTAAGAGCATTCCTGTCTAAATAACTGATGAAGCGATGGGTGGTTCGATAGTGTACTTTGAGCCCAGGGAATATTTAGTCTATGCAAAGAAATTTCCCATTTTTGAAAAATATAAAAAGTCTTTAAATAAAGTATAGGGAGTGAGTGTACCCGTCTATTTCTCAGACTAAATGACAACCAGAAACAAAAACTGATTATTAGTTCTACATGTCTATCAAAATTTAATTTGAGGTGCATTTATCTTATGTTGTAATATCAAGATTTGAACTTCCTTGTATTCTTGTAAAATAATATTCTGGGATCTTCTAAAGAGCTATGTCTTGTACCACATGATCACTGCCAATTGATTTAACAGCTCTGATAATAATGTGTTGTCATCCTTAAATTATGGGGATTACGAAGTGTTGTGAATGCAGTATAGAGTATTGCAATCATGTTATAAAAACAGGCAAATACTATTGTCAAGTTACAGTATATCTACCACATACAGTTGAAGTTAAAATTATTAGCCCCCCGAATTATTAGCCCCCCTGTTTAATTTTTCCCCAATTTCAGTTTAATGGAGAGAAGATTTTTTAACACATTTGTAAACATAATAGTTTTAATAACTCCTTTCTAATAACTGAGTTATTGTATCTTTGCCATGATGACAGCAAATAATATTTAACTAGATACTTTTCAAGACTTCTAAACAGCTTAAAGTGACATTTAATGGCTTAACTAGGGTAATTAGGTTAACTAGGCAGGTTAGGTTAATTAGGCAAGTTATCGTATAACAATGGTTAGTTCTGTAGACTATGGAAAAAATATAGCTTAAAGGGTCTAATCATTGTGACCTTAAAATGGCTTTTAAAAAATTAAAACCTGTTTTTACTCTAGCCAAAATAAAACAAATAAGACTTTCTCCAGAAGAAAAAAATATTATCAGACATACTGTGAACATTTCCTTGCTCTGTTAAACATCATTTGGGAAATATTTTAAAAAGAAAGAAAAAAACATTCAAAAGGGGGCTACTAATTCTGACTTCAACTGTATATTATCAACATTGAGGGGCGAAATGGTGGCTCAGTAGTTAGCACTGTTGCCTCACAGGAAGAAGGTTGCTGGTTTGAGTACCAGCTGAACCATTTGATATTTCTTTGTAGAGTTGGTGTTGTGGAGTTGGCATGGGTTTCCACCGGGTTCCAAACACATGCACTATAATTGAATTGGTTAAACTAAATTTTTCGTACTCTCTGTGTGTGTGTGTGTGTGTGTGTGTGTGTGTGTGTGTGTGTGTGTGTGTGTGTGTGTGTGTGTGTGTGTGTGTGTGTGTGTGTGTGTGTGAGTGTGTGTGTGTGTGTGTGTGTGTGTGTGTGTGTGTGTTTGAATGAGTGTGTAAGGATGTTTTCCAGTACTGGGTTGCAGCTGGAAGGGCATCCACTGTGTAAAACATATGCTGGATAAGTTGGGGGTTAATTCTGCTATGGCCACCCCTAATGAATTAAAGGGACTAAGCCGAAGGAGAATAAATGAGTGAATTATCAATATTATATAAAATTCATTAGATAACAGAATATGGAGTTAGTTTTCTGGGTATTATCATCAGAGTTGCAGCGCTCTATTTACACAACCTTTAAATCTGGTCTTTGGATATGTTTGTTCTAGTTTTACTTGTTTTTAGTCAATTCAATCATTCATTCAAAACAAATTAATTGTGTATTAAGCAGATATGTGAATTTAAGCTTACTTCACAAATGTTTGAAAAGTTAAATACAGTATGAAAATATCTGTATGCAGCTAATATGCAGCACTTGATTCCACCTTAGCTTTCAATAATTTGACAGGGTGATTTGCAGTGAAAATGGCTATATTGTATCTAAAGTGTAGGTTGCTCAATAATGTGTTTTAGTCACACTTTATTTTAATGGTCAGCTTGTTGAATTTAAATTACATTGCTTTTACATGCCAACTAATTCTCAATAGATTATAAGTAAACTGTTAGTGTTGAGGTTAGGGTTAAGTTTAGTATAAGTTGACATATACTTGCTAATTTTCTTATAGTCAGTTAAATGTCTGTTGAAGGAGCAGTATCAACAGATATTAAGCACACTGTTAACCCTTACTGTAGATTATGCTGTAAATAACTGTAAAATAGTCAGTGTTTGGCTGTAATGAAAGGAAACAGTATTTTACTGTAAAAGAAGCAGGATTTGTATGAAATTCTGTAGTGCAAAGAATAAATCACAGTAATTTATTCTATGTACCCATTACAGATATTTACTGTCATAATAAATGGTAAATTACTGATCAACCATTACTGCCCCATCTACTCTGATGCTTTATGTTGCTATTTATATTTATTATATAATTTTATATATTTATATATATTTACTGTTCAGTTTTGATAAGTAAATGGTCAGTATTGAGGGGAGAGTGGGACATTGCATTGATCATAAGCTGAATTTCACTGCAGCCATGTGTTTTCTTTGGTTTCTTTTATGTTTTAATATTGAGCATCAGGAGTCAACCAATGCCACAGAGATCATTCAAAGCTAAGCATAAGATATGGATGAAATGCATTTAAAGGCAAAAATATTCACACAGAGCAAAGAAATTGTCATAATAATTCTTATAACTTTGTTTATGTTTCTATAATTAGTCTAATTTGCCTAATTTAGCCTATAGTTCAGCTTTTAAATTGCACTTTCAACTGAATATTAGTATTTTGCAAAATGACTAGTAAAAATGTGTTATTTAAAAAAAATATCTTAAACAGCACGTACATACATGTTTGCAGAGACTCAATGAATTTGTTTGGAAAACTTCAATTAAAGTAAGTAAAAGTGGCATTAACAGTATAGTATAAAGGCTTTCCTAAATAAATGTATAAATCATGTAATTTTTGTGTTTTTTTTATTATTACTACAGATTTGGAACGACATGAGGATCAGATTATTTATTATAATTTTTTTTTTCCTATGGATGAAGTTTGCATATTTTAATTGTTTTTATTAAACAATATGTGCATAATTGTGATAAATGTAAGCAGTTGCTTTGAAAATATGCTATGCTCCAGGGGTGTCAAACTACTAGAGGGCCGCAGCCTAGCAGATTTTAGTTCCAGCCCTGCTTCAACAAACTACCTTTAGATTTAGTTTGATCAGGTGTGCTTAATTAGGGTTAAAGCTTAACTGTACTCTTATCCTGTAGATTATACAGTAAATAACTGCAAAATAGTCAGTGTTTTGCTGTAATGAAAGGAAACAGTATTTTACTGTAAAAGTAGTAGAGTTTGTATAAAATTGTGTAATGCAATGGATAAATTACAGTAATTTACTTTATGTACTGTGACAATAAATAGCAAATTACTGTTCAACCATAACTGTCCCGTTTACTCTGATGCTTTATGTTGCTGTTTATAGAGACGTACATTTTAAAGGCAGAAGATAATGATTTAGGCCTCACCACCCTCCCACAGGCTGTCTTATTCTAAACACAAAGGTATTAGAAAAAGTTTTCAGAAAATGCTGGCCCTTTAAGAGAGTCAGGTGTTTGATTTGTTTACTGCTGAGTGCGCTCTATTCTCTGTCTATCAATTCAGATGTAGAGTCTGATGTTTTAGGCTTTAAATAAGAATCTACAATGAGTAAGTAAAATGTGTTCAAATGTTTTTGAGGGTTTCTAAAATAAGGCTGTGTTTTAAGTTATATTGTTGTTATCTCTGAACATGCTCAAACGTTAGTTTGACCGCAGCCCTACTGTGCAGACCTGTAATATGAAAGATGATATTTATATCTGCTTATTTCTTAATTTTGTTATACATTTTCTGTTGTATATTTGTTTTCTGCCAAAACAATAAAATACATTTGTCTAAATTTATATGCCTTCTATTTTTAATAACAGGTAAGAATACTAATTAATTTTAGTAAGACTATGACATACTATTAATGTGTATGCAGTATAATGCTGTGAGTTGTAACACTACAGTACAGTAATTAACTGTACACAGTTTCCAGTTAGTTACCACTACTGCTCTATTACAGTAATTAACTGGTAATTAACCAAACCTTTACAGTGAGTAACTGGCAACAGTGTTGCCAGTATTCTACTGTAATACGGCCGGTAAAGTCTAGCAGTGCAGAAAGTCTACTAATACTAAAATAGACCATCAAAATAAAGTTTTACCGAAGCTTGTTTTAAAAATCAATATCATACATGTGTATTTGTTTCAACTGTCCTGTCATACCGAACTATGGTGAAGAAGTCTTTCAGTGTCTCACCTGGTGTCCAGAGGGCTGGGACAGGTGGCGTAAGCAGCAGGTCACTAACACAGTTACAGTCCATACCTCCACTACACCTGCACTCACACACATACACACACAAAAACAAAGCAAATTTCAGTGACAGCCTTACATTTAACCAGGTGTGCTTTACAAGTCCTGAAAAGTGAAGCCAAAACTTTTTGATGACCCCATCCTACAGTGCAGTTTTGGTCAATACCATCATAGTCTCTTTATAGAATAGAGGAACGATGATGTCAATTTGTATGCAAAAAACCTGGAAGCGACTTAGCATTTTAGCAGTTTCGGTTCCCTCGTCCCAAAGTCAGTGGATTTTTGGAATGGGATTTCAGTTAAATCGCTTAAATAAGGTTCGTAGCTCTCACAAACTCAAGATACTTTAACATCTTATTCCATGACATAAAACACATCAGTTACATCACACTCTTGATTTTGTTAATCGTTTACGCTTTAAAAAGACTGTTGCTATCAAGTTGTTAAACGGGATCACAGGCGGTGCCGGAGACATTATACGTTATCGAGCTGAACTCGTCTGGAACACAGCTTGCTTGTATTAAACATTTCTGTTATTTAGATATTTTCATATAGTTTGTAGTAATTTTTAATTGGGAATTTATTTGTAGAAACCGTCAAGTGTTTATCATTTATTTTAATACAATGATTTTATGAAGACAAGCTTGTCTCTTTCCTGCAATGTGTGAATAAATTCTTTAAAATACATAAATATTAACTGTCATTTTAATATGATCAATCGATTTATTCCTCATTTGAACACATATTTAACTCTATCATAATTGCATTATTTACACTCTTTAAAATACATAGCATATGTGGCTGTTTAGGCTGCTTTTCGCTGTACTTTGTGACAAAAAGAAATCTTGAATATTGTTCTCTATCCGCGATGGAACTTGCAAGCATTTGATAGACCTGTCAATCAGCAGGGTGGTGCTCACATCACAGACAGAATGCACTGTATTCCGTTTTAGCCTAACGTTAGGTTTTCAGTTCTTGCGTTTGCAATTAAGTGATACAATTTATATTTTAGCGTGACGATTACCTGGTTGGACAAAAAATGTAAGTGTAATGAAATGTGTTTGAACACAGAACATATTATTTGCAATCCTTGAAAACCCTATGGGAAAACACTATAGGGATTTTATCGAGGGGACCACTTTTATGCTGCCAGCCTCTTGGTCTACAAGGTGACTTCATAGCTCCTCCACTTAGTAAACACATGTGAGCAATAAAAATAACACTGAATAATATTTAAATACTTTTGGGTAGTATTTATCATGCTGATGTATGTTTAACCATTTGTTTAAAAAACATGCATTTTTAAAGCAATTTACTCATGATTTATCAATAAAAGGGTTGTGTGCTCTGATTGTGTGTATGCGATTAGTGCTGCTATAGTTGGGTGAGACTGTTATGCCACACCCCCCGCTCATAATTATACTGCACAGGCTCCAAATGATGTCATCAGCGCAAAATGACAGCACTGGGACATTTTGGCTTTAATTATCTACAGCAGTAAGAGAGAACATCTTGTCTTATGGGTTGTTGTCTCTTTTATTTCCACAGTCTCTGAGTTAAAGCACAGAACACAAGGCTAAAGGCTAAAGAAGGGTACTTTGACTCAACAAATTTGTGTCATGTGCTTGTGGACTCACTTCACCCACTATGCACCAGTGTGTCTGAACATGCTTTTGTAAACCATGAGGGCATGTCATTCCAGTGGCCTCTGAAATCAATCAATGCCTTTTCATTTGAAGGGTTTCTTTAAATATGGTTGCCGAAGGCTATCCCTTCAGCCATGCAGAAGATCACTGAGCATTTTTTCACAAAGAGCATCGTTCAAAAGACCCCGTCTCCTGCTGAACGTATATGACCGTGTGTGAGGGCCTCATAGCATTTCACAGGTGTCTGTTAGCGGTAAGGACCAAACATGCAAGATGCATTACACCTCACAACCAATTAAAACACATGAAATTAGAAAAGTTAGAAAAGACTTCCAATGTGCAACATTCACGTTGCAGCAAAAAGGAAATAAATACGCCACGGTGGGCATGTGCTCATACAAATAACTTCAAAGCAGGATATCAAAAATCATTGAAGATTGCATCTGCGATCAGAACAACTGGGAGCATCTGTAAAGATCCATCTCTCCATGCAGCAATTCAGTATACATGGCTAGAGAAATTCAATCTCTCCTCAGCCATCACAATTTCATAAAGGTTGTTTTACAAAGCTCGGGTGGAAGAAAAAGAAGCCGGTACAAGGGTATCTTTAATGCCGGCCTCTCCCCTCTCCCCCTCTCTCCTCTCTCTCCCACTCTATTTAATTATGCTCTGTGAATTTTGGATCTTCCCTCCAGCATTGAAATGGAACGTGAATTATTGAGGTGTGTTTGTATAAATTATTATTGCTAACTCCAGGCACTTCTCTTTTACACACACAAGTACGCACACACACACACACAGTCCTCTTTGTTGCTTTTACTCTTTGGACTGTCCACTTGCTTTCCCCCCACCCTCACACCATCTTCCATCTTCTTCTCATCTCAGTCTTTTTTTTTGGTAACACACATCTCTATATCATCTTTAGTGCAGCATCTTTCATACTCAAGAAAGTGAACTCAGTTGCCTGTTTTCTTACATACAATTACTTAAAATTCAACTTTGCAATCACCCACAGTGCTCTGTATATGTAAGTAAATCCCTCACAAATCTATCTTTTAAATGTATATTTTTTAATAGGAAGGTATACAATATTATATTTGTGTTTATACATTAGATTAGTCCTGAAGCCAAATCTAGAGCTTTTCTAACAAAATAACTTCTAATAATAGTCCAAAAACTAGTACACCACAATTTATTTGTCATCGTTTGTTATTTGTCAAGAGAAGCAGAAAAAAAAAGGAAAAAAATTGTAGGTTGTAATTTTTTTGCATATATTTTATATTTTGCTTGAATTTCTTTGTATTATCTCTCAATTTCTAATTATGTTTGGTGACTAAAATATCATTTAATAAATGTATCTGTTTAATTCATCTGTTTTGTTTATACACACCAATATATTCCCTGAAAAATGGATAGAAATATTCATTTTCAAAATGGGGTGTACTCAATTATGCTGAGCACTGTATGAGATTAACTGGACTGTCATCTTAATAATAAACAGTACATCATAACATTGTCAAAAAATAAATAAGCACACCGTGTGACACCTGTAAATGAATCCACTAAGATATGATCATCATATTACTTTTTTTTTTTTGTAAAATCTGTATTCATCACCCAGCCTATCCAATCAAAGCAAACCCAGCCTCACCTGCCCGTACACCTGACTCTGCTCTCCCCCTCTCGGTTTCTCTCCTCTGTATGTTTTGCTCCTGCTCAGTAATTTTCCGTTTGATTTCGGAGGTAATGCATTTTTTACAAATCAAAGAGGAAGCCAGGACGCCCCCACCACCCCTCCTTTCCCTCGATCTCCTTCTTTTGCCCTGCTCTTCCCCTCCAGGCCAGTGAGGAGATAAAGGAGCCCCCATCATTTCCTTGTTAGTTTTGATTTGGGCAGCACAGGGCTTTCAAGTTCTCCCCATCACCCCCAGAAACATTATAACTAGCAGCCAAGGGAATATATCTTCTCACAATCTCCTAGATATGAAGACACTGATTCAGAGAGTGCACAAGCACCACCACACACACTAAACAAAACATGAAAAAAAGTCAGAAAAAGAGATGCACATAGACATGGACAGGGCAAGACAAAGTTACACCGTTCACCGAGACAACATTCTGAAACAGACTTGAGAAAAGTAAAACTCTTCTGTGGGAACAAACTAACAGCAGATTAATGACTATTCTCATGCTGTACACTCAAAATATAATGATCAACAGATTCATTTATTAATTTAAATATATTACATATATTATTATGATTAGCAATGCGATATGGCTGTATATCGGCACAGGTGGGAGGCGTGCGTTGGCACGAGGCCGCAGGCCGAGTTCCTTAGTGCCCCAATCAGTGCCGATATACAGCCATATATCACTTCTACGAGTGTGATATTGCATTTAAACAACAATTTGATGGCATAATTATGTATATAAAAACATAATATAAATATAGATATAGATATATAAGATATTTATTAAATATATATATTTATACAACAGTTCTGTCTGGTTCTCAAATCTGATTGGCTGATAGCCGTGCGATATTCTGCAATATCAGAACTCCTACCGCCTCTTTACCCTTTGTGTATTACTCCGCCCACATACAGCCAGCAAAAAGCAGACACTACAGATCTAAAGTTTAAAAGATGCACGCTCAACTGTTTAACTGTCAGCTTATAATTTGAATCCGGAAGAAAGTAGTTCCTCATACAAAAGGGTTTTTGAGACTCTCAGTGTCTGATTTTGTTTTTATATACACAATTATGCCGTCAAACTGTTGTATAAACGCAATATCACACTCGTAGCATGGCCTGCGGCCTCGTGCCAACGCACGCCTCCCACCAGTGCCGATATACAGCCATATCACACTGCTACTCATGTGATGTTGCTCATATATATATTTTTCAATTTACTGTAATTTTTCACGGTAAATTACATTAGTACCACTTTACAAGATTTTACTGTAAATATTCACAGTAATGTTTTGTAAATTTTATTGTGAAATTATTCAAACTAGCATGATTTCAGCAAATTACTGTAAAAGGGCTATATTTTTTGCATGTTAGTTATAGAAATTCAAACTCTTTTTATTTCATTTAACATAGACATTAATACAAATGAACTTTTACTGATATTTACTGATAATTTAACTTTTTTGGTATTTAGAAATAACAGAATGTTATTGCAGCCCCAAAAACAATTTGGTTACATCGTCAAAAATAACTGTTTTAAAACTACATGAATGTCATAGCAAATTTTCATTTTTTGGTGCACTGCATCTTAATTTTATAAGGTTAACATGGAAACATGAAACAATTTTCAATGAACATAACTTTGTGCTCACCCAAAAACATAATAAACTGATACAAAAGTAATTG